GATTAATACTGTCTATGAGAGATTCAATTTAGATTCAAAGACACTAAAGGTACTATTTCATGCAAACAGTAACCAAAAAGAAAAGACAAAGAAAAAAACAGAGTAAGCCTGTGAGATGGCTCAGTGGGTAAGGGTTATTCCCACCAAGCCTGATGATCTGAATTCCATCCCAGGATCCCACACAGTGGACAGAGAAAGCCATCTCCCACAAGTTGTCCACATAAACATGAACACACACAAATTAATTATTAATTAATAAGTGGCTATACTAATATTAGACAAAGCATATCTTAAAGGTTTAAATGGATGTAGAGTATATTTGTAAAACTGAAAGAACTCTAAGATGGAGTTCTAAAAACACTGCAAATATATAAATCCCACACAGTGGACAGAGAAAGCCATCTCCCACAAGTTGTCCACATAAACATGAACACACACAAATTAATTATTAATTAATAAGTGGCTATACTAATATTAGACAAAGCATATCTTAAAGGTTTAAATGGATGTAGAGTATATTTGTAAAACTGAAAGAACTCTAAGATGGAGTTCTAAAAACACTGCAAATATATAAAATATAAAATATAAATTTATAGTAATATAAATTTATCTAACATCATTGAGCTATACATTTTAAGTGATTAAGATATGAAATTTTATGTTATGTATATTTTATTACAACAAAAATTTGACAAAATATATGTTATGTTTGCTCCATTATCTAAGTCAGAAAAAGACTTCTTTGGAAGGTGAGGATTATGCTTGCAGAGTTCATAAGGTAACTTCTATTATGGTTTATTTAAACACAGTAAAGAAAAGACTCCATGTGGGGGCTAGAGAGATGGCTCAGCGGTTAAGAACACTGGCTGTTCTTGCAGAAGACCCAGGTTCAAATCCCAGCACTCACATGGCGTCTATGAACCGTCCTTAACTCCAGTTCTAAGGGAATCGGAAGCCCACTTCTGACCTCCGCAGCATTGCACGACACGGGTGCATTCACATACATGCAGGCAATACACTCATACACATAAAATAAAAATGATAAATAAATTATTTAAAAATGATAAAATTTAAAAAAAAAAAAAAAGACTCCGTGTGAATGGCCTGTCCCTAAAACCACTGGGTTTGTTTTAGCCCTTTTCTTGACTGACATCTCAGTTGCAATTAATGCTAGTGATTGCTTCAAAATATATAACTCTTAAATACAAGTGTTACAGTATCCTGTCAGCCATATGGGGGGTTAGGGGGAAAAAACTAGAAGTTCTGATGCCACATTTTTTTAGAATTTTGTTGTTTTGCTCATTACGGATTTTTCACATTAGCTTTCTTTCACTTCTATTGCACCACAGTTTAGCGATTTTTCGCCTGTTTCTGGGCTCTCCCGTCTCTTCGCACTTCTGTTAATCTACCCATTCAATGCCAGCGTTTTCCAGGGTTCTGTTTCAGATGTTCTCTATCTACACATACCATAGTGGTTATCTCAGTTGCTTCTAGGCTCTCCAGATTCCCAAACTGCTTCCACTTCACTTCACCTCCAGTCACACTCCAAAGATAACATTCCTCTAATCTAACCCCAATCCTCTGTCCCTGGGGGTCAGTCACTTCCTGTTCCTGTGATACATTTTCAAAGACATGCTTCTCACTTCCAATGAAATACTTTATCTTTCCAAAATTTTAAATCTCTGAATTCACCAAAAATCCCATCTCCTTGCCTTCTTCATGCTTCCCTTAAGAGCCTATGGTGCAGAAAGAGAGAAAAGGGAACAGAAATCTTTCCAGACCCCGTTTCAATCTTTGTTTCCACTTTACCCTCCAGCTGCTCAAATAAGCCCTAATCTCAATTTCACCGTTTCAAGCACACCATCTTTCTCTAAAATATTTTATTATTTTTATTTTATGTGTATGCATGTATTGCCTGTATGTGATTAGTGGCCATATGTGTGTTGGGAATCAAATTCAGGTCCTCTGCAAGAGTAGCCAGCACTCTTGACTGCTGAGCCATCTCTCCAGCCCGCTCACCATCCTATTTACAGTGAATATTCGCTGTAATGCAAATTTCTACTCTGCGTAATTTCCTCCACAGGAGACCTTTTCTGACCTCTCAATTATAGTAGCCACCCCCCTCCGACCCCCCACCCC